GGGCTGTAAAGAGCTCTTCCTTCAAGGTTGGACGGCCGATAGTCGAACGAGGACGCGTTCGCTCGCAGCCCGGAGGTCTTTAAACGCCATTAATGAGAGCGCGCAAACTGTTGATTGAGCATCGATCCGATCGGACGCTTCGGTGGCTCACGGGACACGTTATTAGCTACTCCTGACTCATTATTAGCTACACATGCTCCAGCTAATTAAGATTTGGCTTTGAGTTGGTTTTTGTTTCTTCTCGACTGGTTCTCGTGCCCTGATGAGTCTGGTATGATGATTGCGCAACAGTGTTGAGGCTTTGACCTACAATGGAGGAAGAAACCCTCGAGGCCACGTTGCGGCTTGGCTTCTCGGCCGCATGGGCGCACGCCGCCATACTCTGGTGGCATGTTGCTCCCCTTTTTGCATGGCTTTTGGTTTTTTTGTTTTTGTTGTTTTTTTTTTTAACACTGTTGGCCTTGCCTCTCCAGAGCCAGCGCTGTACTTTTCTTTCGCGTTCGAGGCAGTGCTCGGGCATGCCGCAGTTGTGACTGTGCTGTTGTTTTTGTTTTCTTGTCAGTCGGGACTTTTCACTTGGGCTCGAAGCGCCACTCAAGCATGACGCCGTGCCCGGCCAGCTGGTTCTTTTCCAACTACAATTTGGTTGCCCTTGTTCGTTTTTTGGTTTGTTTGATTTTATTGATTTATTTTGGGGGGAAAGAATGTATGAAGGCACTGTCAAGTTGGAGGTAGCAGTGGAGCTTGGCGCCAGGCTGCATGACGACCGACCACAGTTGACCCCACCTGGTGGAAGAACCCATTGAGCAAGCCCCATTGCTGGTTCTCAACTCCTCTCTTGTGTTCTCGGTCCCGCTCGAGCATGCTGCCATGGCCCCACAGTGCCTTCTTCATAACCGCAAAGTGAGGAAAAAGGGAAACACACATTTGGCTTCGGCTTAGCCCAAAGGCTGGAACGCAATCAAACGTGTTGTTTCAGAGCGCAATGGCGAGCCTTCAGACATGAGGGCGGGGGGGCGGGATTAGTTGGTCTACGCACAATGACCCCATTATGTCAGCAGGAGCAGACCCCCCCCCTCGAGAAATTGGCTTTTGCGTGGAACTTATTGCAACATTACGGCACAGAGGGAGGGGGGAAAAAAACTGATGAAATCTGAGCTGCACCTACATGCCTCGGAAAAGACTTTCTTTGCTTTTTTTTGGGGGGGGGAATATATGGAAAGGAAAAAATAACCCTTCAGGCTTGAATTGCAAAGATGGGGGGGGCTGCGAGTTGTAACAATCACACTGCTGGGGCTCGATTTCAAACGAGAAAGTTTGAGGGAGAAATGTGGATTTTATTGTTGGGAGGAAACAAAGGGAAGAACATCTGCCACACATTTTGCAGGCCTCATCATTAGGAAAAAGCTTCAAGCTGCTTACGTTACGCAACGCTTTCAACCCACCGACCGATGGAAGACGTGGGGGGGGGGGGGAAACAAAAAAAAACGTGTTTTTCGTCTCGCAGAGGAAGTTGACTTTGCCAGGCGTTTTTTTTCTGCGTTATCAACACAAACTCGCACTGAGCAAACAACCCCCAGAAAGGACAACTGGGCGGCCGCAGCAACATTTTGGGGCTGAAGAGGCTCCCAAAGTCCAACTCAAATGCAGTCCAACTTGCTTTTGTCTTTTGCCTTTGAATGCCATCAAAGAAGGAAAAGTGTGACGCTCACCGTCCAACAGGAAACAAAAATTGCAGGACTGAGCAGTTCACTCCTGCACATTCATTCCTTCATTGGATTAAAATAACACAAACTAGAGTCAATAAATAAAAACATATTGGATTCATAATGCAATTTTTTGGGGGGTCATATTTGCAGGCAACTTCAAATTTGAACTGGATCACGTCAGGATGTTTGGAAATGAGTTACTGGAGGACAAAGAGAGGGGGGCCCATTGGGGTGAAAAGTGCTGCACAGGCAGGAGAGAGAAAAAAAAAAGAAATAAAATAAGGCAACACCCGCGGACTTCCTTTTCCTGTCCCGATGTCACCCACCAACGAACGCCTCAGGAAACGGGCCGCCCGCAATGCTAAAGGAGCTGCTTCTTGCGTTGGGTTGGTGTCAAAATTTAAAAAAAAAAAAGAACATTGAATTGTAATGAGAAAGAGATAAAAAAAAAAATCACTTGGAAATGAAATGAATCATACAAACACGAATGGAATTATCCAGTTGGCATTTCAAAGGGTGAAATGGTCTTCCTTTGTGAGCGTTTTGGACCTTCAGGACTTTTGGGATCCGCACTGTGCAAACAAATAACCTGAAGGCGCTGATTTGCGTATGCGCGTTTGCTTCCAACGAGTGGCAAACTTTGACCCGCGGCCGTCCTCTTCTTCCATCCCCTTCACATTTCCACCGACACGTACCGGGGGAGCCGACAACGCCGTCAAACAACGAGTCCGCACTTTTGTTGATGGTTCCGCACTCCTCTGATGAGTCACGTTTGGAAAACCAAAGAGGACTCGCCTCGCGGGTGCCGTGACGTTCTCACCATGCGTTGGGGCAGAAAAGGCAAAATGGGAAGCGTCACCATCCCAAGTGAAAATGAAAACCATTTTTTTGCGGGCAGCGTTCAATCTGCTCACCACAACGTGGCAACAGGAGATCACAACATTCTCCCATTCGAAAGAAGGAAACGATCAGGGAAAGCTCCAAGACGGGACACGTTTGCTTTTTAGGGTGCCCGATTTGGAGATTTTTAAGTGGCCCAACAAAAAAAGGACACCACAGTATGAGACCTTTCAACTGAGTAGAGTGCGCAGGCACTAATTCAAATAAAACGGGAGATCGCCTTAGATGGTCACCAAAATGAGCCAAATAAAACTTCAAACGTTCGCTCCAAACTAAAGCGGCGGCAGACTTCCTGTGTCTATCGGTCATGGCTTCTTGAAAGCTTTTTTTGTGGGGTGAAGGAGACTGGCTCTTTGGGAGCAATCAAACAAAATCCGGAGCACGAGTTCTTTTTTGTAGAATGTCAGGCAATGACAAAAATGACCCCAAAATGGTCGCTTCAAACCCAAATTTCAGACTTCCCGTCCCTTGGTTTCTCGAGACGTTTTTGGGGTTTTCTTTTCGGTTTACTCGTGACAGACATGCTTGCCAAATTGCAAGGTCAGATTTCAAGCAGAATCGAGCCCTCGAAAAAGGAAATCCATTTGGCCCAAAAATGTCATCGCTATGTGTGTACATAATGCCATCGAAAGTAGAAAAACACGTTGCGATTTACAAATATGCACCAAGCGGTGTATGGAAGTAAGCAGTGTGTCTTTGAAAAGGGGCTGAAATCCCCCGCCCCCGACGAAAAAAAAAAAAAAAAAATCACTTTAGCCTCAGATGACCGGAGCCGGCGGCTGAATGAAAAACTTGTGCAGAGCTCAGCTTGATGGGCAAAGTCACGCTGACATTTTATGTGCAAAGTAAGCTAGCCACAGAGAGGTCGGCGCACGCGAGGAAC